TACAGGTTCCTTATCAACTTCGTCAGTCTTATAAAGTAAAACTTCACTACTGGAAAAAATGGAAACGAACTTCTTCACCGGATGATAAAGAGCAGTATTTGAATATGTCACGAAAATGTTCTGGCTTAGCAAACAGTTACAGAATAATCAATGAACATAAACTGCTTTCTAAATGCAATGTCAGAAGTTTTTACCAGTATGTCAACAAAAAAATGCTATCGCGTCTCAATGTCAGTAGTTTAAAGTTAGATGACAATAGCGTGACCTATGACCCGCTGATAATGGCCAATGCATTCAACAAATATTTTTCTTCCGTATTTACACATGATAACAACTCCAATTGTTCCATACCTTGTCTAACCAACAACTTGTTAGAAGATATTTGTTTCACTCCCCATACAGTTTATACAACTCTGCGTAACTTAAAAAATTCAACCTCAGCTGGAACAGATGGTATACCGAATGTTGTCCTGAAGATGTGTGCATCTAACCTATCAGTTCCATTATGTCATATTTTTGATCTATCATTTAGAAATAACCAGCTATCAACTAAATGGAAATCTGTTATTGTTACTCCCATTCATAAAAAGGGTCCCACAAACCACCCCAGCAACTACCGACCTATTTCACTCACGAGTTCAAGTTGTAGAGCAATGGAAAAGATTATAAACAAAGTAATATTATCCTTTCTTTTAGAAAACAAACTAATTACGCATTTTCAACATGGTTTTCTACCTGGTAGATCAACCTGCACCAACTTAATGCAATTTTACAGCGACTGGATATCACTTCGTCAAAACAAAGAAGGCTGTGACACCATTTACCTCGATTTCCAAAAAGCTTTTGATTCTGTCACACTCGAAACTGGTCGGAAAATTGAGATCCTATGGAATAGCTGGTGATCTGCTTGCCTGGCTGTCGGACTTCTTGTCTCAACGTTCCCAGCTTGTTAGAATTCAAAACAAATTATCCAATTCAGTGTCGGTTACCAGTGGTGTCCCCCAAGGCAGTGTCTTGGGTCCAACTCTATTCATTGTCTTCATTAACGACATTGTTGAACGCATTTCATCTATTTCAGTTTCAAGTTTGCTATTCGCTGACGATATTAAATTATACAGCCGTTCATCCAACTCAGTTCAACTTCAACAGGCCATCAACGATATAACAGCTTGGAGTATCAAATGGCAGTTGCCACTCTCTCCGAGTAAATGCTGTCATTGCTCATTTCTTCCATCTTCGAGATCAACATTAGTTCCACATCAATATTATATAGATCAACATCTTCTCAGTTGTACAAATGACTTCAGAGATCTTGGTGTGATAATGGACAGCAAATTCAACTTTAATGCGCATATCAACAACATCACTCACAAGGCTTCTTCCCGCGCTCGCTTAATCGTCAAATGTTTCACATCTAAGAATAAGGATCTACTTGTGAAGGCTTTTTGCAGTTATGTACGTCCTCTACTTGAATACTGCTCACCGCTATGGAATCCGCACTACAAATATCAAATAACCAAGATTGAAAATGTTCAGAGAAGATTTACCAAATTCATTCCGTCAATTCGTCATCTTCCATATTTGTCTAGATTGCAAGCGGTAGGACTACAAACACTTGAGCGGCGTAGATTGGTTCTTGATTTGTGCTTGCTGTACAAAATACTACACAACCTCATCAACACAGATTTAAATGGTTTTTTCATCCCTTCACATTATCTGTCAACTCGCGGTCACCCATGTCGACTGCAAGATTTCAACGCTGGAGACAACGTAACAAAATATTTCTACTGTATCCGGATTATCCGAGTGTGGAATGCATTGCCGGCAGACGTAGTGTCTTCAACTTCACTTGCTGTCTTCAAAAATCATTTACTCACTATTGATTTAAATAGATTTTTAATTATAATGTGATTTATTGTTAAATTACGTTTAATATTTACATATATGCCTAACTAACTCTGTTGGCTAAAACTGTCATATCATTTACCAATTATAATATCAGTAGTACATTTTTTAAGTTATGAAGTTATCTTCTATGTTTGACTATAAACTTTTTCATTATTCATTAAGATCATTGTGCATCGATCTCTGTTATTATCCTATGTTTTTACTTAATTCATAGACGTACGATTCATCTTTCGAACATTTTTTTTCATTTTTCTTACCGGATAAGTGGTTTCTTTTTAGCCCTCTGGTTTTGTGAATAAATAAATAAAATAAATAAAACTTATTCATTTGTCTATTATTTCATTTGCCCATTCATTCATTTATTTATTCTTTCATTCATTCATCCATTCAGTTAGTCATTAGTCAGTACTTGTTCGTTATTTATGATCATTTCATGATTGAAAATAGTGTTCTACGTGAATTGGTTTGTTTGTTTGTTGGTTTGTTTGTTTGTTTGTTTGTTTATTTATTTATTTGTTCATTCGTTCATTTGTCTTATAATTGCATTACTGTTTAATTAATCTTTTGTAAACAATAAATTTGTTTGCGCTGGGCTTTTGTATTTTGGTCTACCTGTCTGTGGAATGTGATATATCTAAAAATACATTTTATCGCTTTTTGGTTGCATTTGTATGTGTATGTTTAAATTTTGTATTATTTTTTTATGTCGGTAATGTTTTGTCTAATTGTTTATGTTTTGTATGTTTGTTTTCTGTTTTGTTCTCTTTCGAATGTTATTTTAAGTTTTGAACACATTCTCATGTGTTTTTTGCCTGTTAGTCTGTGAAAACCTGTTCCATACATTGTTCGTTTTGTATAAAAAATTTACTTCTTGTATGCATATTTGTATAAGGAATACGTGTTTGTATGTTTAACTTTTGTTTATGCTTCGTCTGTTTATCTATGGATTTAAAATATCAAAATATCGTAAAAGTTGTTTTTTTTTCTATTGAAGATTTATACGGAAGTCCTAATAGGTTGGTCGCAGAGGAAGAGATGGACGTATTACTTGCGTATGTTCGCATATTTGCGTGTATTTATCCGTGAGTCTGTGCGTATTGATGGGTATCTGTCTGTACATATAGACAGACGATTGTGATGTAGACAGGCTTTTTGTTGATAATTTGGTAAACTGTCGTACACTAACGATAAAGCTTCATTTGAATCGGTTGGTTGGTGTTGTTTGGGTCAAACTAATGTACCCCAGTTTAAAAAAATTTCCAAGTCTCGCAAAAATGTTGAAAAAAAATTTATTTTTACTGATTGTTAAAGGTTAAGGTTAAAGTTTACTTTTTCTTTCGCGTTAGCTTCAGATGTTTCAACGACAAACACACACAGCGTACATGAATACGCGTGAAAACCACGCATCATACACATTGCATATGATAGGCTGGGATCTTTTTGTATTCGAACCCAGTCATTGCAACAGCAAGACCAGGCGCCTTTAACGATTGAGCCATCCCGCTTTTGTTTTGGGGTTGTTGGACAATGTCATTTAATACGAAAATGATAACGAAAAATAACTGACACTA